TAATGGATTGATAATTTTAGTTTTATTTCATCACCTTTGTTAAGAACTTTTAATTTTTTTTTAATTTTTTTGAATTAGACATGTATATGCGCATATGAATAAAAAACCAGTTTGTTACACAAAAATTCTCATTTTTATTGGTTGATTGTAGATCACGTGATATAAAATTGATGCTAAAAATTTGAACATAATCACGTGATTGTCGAGTATAGGTTTTCTACACTATAGCAAATTATTTACAAAATTTAATAATTTAAATTGAAAAAAATTAAATGAATGAGAATTTTTTACAATAATTCTAAAAAATTAACTTATATTTTTATTGATACAAATAAATTGTTTATTCAATTTAAATTTATGTAATTTGAATTTTGTTTCAAATAATACAATAGTATATAATAATGTTTTAAAATATCTTATCACTAATAAATAGCAGTATGCATTTTTAGATATGAAATGTTATATTGATACAAAGAAAAACTTTAAAAAGCATTGTATATTTGACCTAAAAAGAGCTAAATATGTAATTATTAATTTTGTTTTAAATGTAAAAAAATAATAAAGATTATAAAAGATTTAACATATCCTATCACTATTATCTAAATTAAGGCTTCTATAAATCACAGGATCTACCGATATGCCGGTATTAATAAAATAATAAAATTAAAAATAAATAACTGCGCCTAAACTTACTATATTAAGAAATTGGATATATATAGAATAATATGAACTACTAACCTTTCTATTTTTGTAATTTTTTATGACGTTCAATTTTATAATTTTACCTTAGACTTGAAACGAAAATTACTCACGGGCGCATGATTATAGTAAAAATATTCATCACCTCGCGTCACCAGGAACTTAGAATTTTTTTCGGTGTGAAAAATCCATAATTCCGGCCAAAAAGTCATGTGAGTAATTTTTTTGGTGGTTACGCTGGGGAGTTCTGATTGAATTATTGTATTTATACAGTAATTCATCTCTCAACTCTCATCAATTCTATTCAACTCTCAACTCTTATCAATTCTATTCACCTCTCAACTCTCCAACTATCAACTATCAACAGCAACTAAAATGGCTGACAACTACACCCAACTTGGTTTCGATGAAGAAGAAACAGAAGCGTTTAATGGGATGACCGCACGAGAAAGAAGGGCATTTAACCGCCTGCGAGACGACAATTCAAGAATTGTATTTGTTCAAGCACTCGTGGTCAAAGAAAAATCTTGGAAAGAAAAATCTGTATGTTTATCTAAAAGAAACATATTTTTGTTAGAATATTTTATTAAAACTGTTTTAGCGCCTTCGTCGTTTCTTAACATAACTTTTTCGTTAGGACCTTGGTCAAAACCTAGTTGGCTGTGGTCTCAACATGGCTGCCCTAACTGTACTTATTGTTCTTGCTTCGACTGTGTACAAAAATGACGATGAAAAACTAAAATTATTTTCATTAGTGTTGAATACGCTGATTTTTATCGTTGAGATTTTCATGTTATTTAATAAATTGCGATGGAATAATATTGAATATCGTTATATTTTTTTTATAAGTTTTTTAATAATCGTAGGGATATTACTATCCATACTTTTACCGATATTTATCAATTTTTTACCAGCAACGATCTGTGTTTTTTTCATTAAACTCTCTATAAATACTAGCGAAGTTTTGTTTCAATGGCTCAAATTTAAGTCTCTTTAATTTTTTTTAACAATGTTAATTATTTGTACTTTGCTAGATCTACGTTTCTGATTATCCTATAATAAAAATAAAAAAAAAAGTAATATTTTTTCTAACGAAAGATTTCCAAACCAAAATAAATTATTTGTACGAGGATTAAATGGAACATTTTTTTTTTAACAGGATTTACGTGATATTCAACTTGATTGGTTAATTATTTAAACCATCTATCTCGTATGCAACATTGTTGTCCGTTGTCCATAGGCGTTGTACAGAGGGTTATCAAAAGTTTCCGAACGCTATTTTTGGAACACGATTGACATATATAAAAGGTAATGTTTACATACATTTATGTTTGTTTATTTGTTTATTTTGCTTTAAATAGCATTTTAACTTTAAATTCCCTTCTCTCTTTTTTTTTTTGCAACTTACGGCTACAACTACAACAATGGAGCAACGTGGTGCGATAATTATTTGTCGTAAAAATGGTGATTCATATAGTAAAATTGCAGAAACTTTTGGATGAGGCAAAACAACAGTATATGACACATTGAAAAGGCATGCTGAAACTGGTTCTACCCACCCTTGCTGATCTTGAAA